TGAGGAAAACCAAAAAGGCACAAGAGAAAAACCAGCCTCCAGGAGGAAAACCAAGGGCCCATGAGGAAAACCAGCACCCAGGAGGAAAACCAAGGGCCCAGGAGGAAAACCAGCCTCCATGAGGAAAGCAAAGGGCCCAAGAGGAAAACCAACCACCAGGAATAAAACCAAGGGCCCAGGAGGAAAACCAGCTCCCAGGAGGAAAACCAAAGGCCCAGGAGGAAAACCAGCCCCCATGAGGAAAACCAAGGGCCCAGGGAAAAACCAGCACCCAGGAGGAAAACCAAGGGCCCAGGAGGAAAACCAACCTCTAAGAGGAAAACCAAAGGTCCATGAGGAAAACCAGCCTCCAGGAGGAAAACCAAGGGCCCAAGAGGAAAACCAGCCTCCAGGACGAAAACCAAGGGCCCAGGAGGGCAACCAGCCTCCAAGAGGAAAACCAAGAGCCCAGGAGGAAAACCAGCACCCAGGAGGAAAACCAAGGGCCCAGGAAGAAAACCAGCCTCATGAGGAAAACCAAAAAGGCCCAGGAGGAAAACCAGCCTCCAGGAGGAAAACCAAGGGCCCAGGACGAAAGCCCGCCCCCAGGAGGAAAACCACAGGCACAAGAGGAAAACCAGCTTCATGAGGAACACCAAGGGCCAAGGGGGAAAACCAGCCCCCAGAGGGAAAACCAAGGGCCCAGGAGGAAAACCAGCCTCCAGGAAGAAAACCAAGGGCCCAGGAGGAAAACCAGCATCCATGAGGAAAACCAACGGCCCAGGAGGAAAACCAATCCCCAGGAGGAAAACCGAGGGCCCAAAAGGAAAACCAGCGTCCATGAGGAAAACCAAGGGCCCATGAGGAAAACCAGCCCCCAGGAGGAAAACCAAAGGCCCAGGAGGAAAACCAGCCTCCAGGACGAAAACCAACGGCCCAAGAGGAAAACCAGCCTCCAGGAGGAAAACCAAGGGCACAAAAAGTAAACCAGCCCCCAGGAGGAAAGCCAAGGGCCCAAAAAGAAAACCAGCCCCCAGGAGGAAAGCCAAGGGCCCAGAAAGAAAACCAGCCTCCATAAGGAAAACCAAGGGACCAGGAGGAAAACCAGCCCCCAGGAGGAAAACCAAGGGCCCAGGGGGAAAACCAGCCCCCAGGAGGAAAACCGAGGGCACATGAGGAAAACAAGCCTCCAGGAGGAAAACCAAGGGCCCAAGAGGGAAACCAGCACCCGGGAGGAAAACCAGCCCCAATGAGGAAAACAAGAGGGCCCAGGAAGAAAACCAGCCTCAGGAAGAAAACCGAGGGCCCAGGAGGAAAACCAGCCTCCAGGAGGAAAACCAAGGGCCCAGGAGGAAAACCATGCCCCAGGAGGAAAACAAAGGGCCAAAAAGGAAAACCAGTCTCCAGGCGGAAAACCAAAGACCCAGGAAGAAAACCAGCCTCCAGGAGGAAAACCGAGGGCCCAGGAGGAAAACCAGCCCCCGGGAGGAAAACCAAGGGTCCAGGAGGAAAACCAGCTTCCAAGAGGAAAACCAAGGGCCCACGAGGGAAACCAGCCTCCAAAAGGAAAACCAAGAGCCCAGGAGGAAAACCAGCCTCCAGGAGGAAAACCAAGAGCCCAGGAGGAAAACCAGCCTCCAGGAGGAAAGCCAAGGGCCCAGGAGGAAAACCAGCCTCCAGGAAGAAAACCAAGGGCCCAGGAGGAAAACCAGCCCCCAGGAGGAAAACCGAGGGCCCAAAAGGAAAACCAGCGTCCATGAGGAAAACCAAGGGCCCATGAGGAAAACCAGCCTCCAGAGGAAAACCGAGGGCCCACGAGGAAAACCGGCCTCCAGGAGGAAAACCAAGGGCCCAGGAGGAAAACCAGCCCCTAAGAGGAAAACCAAGGGCCCAGGAGGAAAACCAGCCTCCAAGAGGAAAGCTAAGGGCCCAGGAGGAAAAACCAGCCTCCAGGAAGAAAACCAATGGCCCAGGAGGAAAACCAGCCTCCAGGAAGAAAACCAAGGGCCCAGGAGGAAAACCAGCCTCCAGGAGGAAAACCAAGGGCCCAGGAGGAAAACCAGCCCCCAAGAGGAACACCAAGGGCCCAGGAGGAAAACCAGCCTCCAGGAGGAAAACCAAGGGCCTAGGAGGAAAACCAGTCCCCAGGCCTCCAGCTCCCTCCTCCTCCTCCTCCTCCTCCTCCTCCTCCTCCTCCTCTTCCTCCTCCTCCGTTTCCGAGCCTCATTGGCGCGCCCGGCGGGGGCGCTGGGTCGGTGGCGGGGGCGGCGAGGACGGCGGCGGCGGTGGCGGGGGCGCCTGCTGCGGCGGGCGCCGCCGCCGCCGCCGTGGTCGACGCCGCCGCCGCCGCCGCCGCCGTCGCCGTCGCCGTCGCCGTCGCCGTCGTCGTCGTCCTCGCCGTCGCCGTCGCCGTCGCCGCCCCCGCCGTCGCCGCCGTCGTCGTGGCCGCCGCCGCGCCTCTGGCGCTGGCTGCGGCGGCTGGGGCGGTGGCGCCGCGGGCACCGGGGGCGGGCAGGCGCAGGCCGCCGAAAAAAAACGCCGCCGAGAAGGCCGCCGAAAAATGCCTAGGGGACGGAGAGCCTCCGAGGGAACCCGATACCAGTTCCGAGCCGCGTCCACCCGTGGCGACGACGAGGGCCTTCGAGCGCCAAGATGCCTCGATCCTCGAGGTTCGAACCTCGGCGCGAACCTCGGCGCAACCCTCGGCGGGGGGAAGGGGGGGTTCCTGATCCTGCCCCCCGCCAGCGCTGCCCCTCCTCCCCCTCCCCCCCCCTCCTCCTCGTTCCTCCTCTTCCCACCCTCTCCTCCTCCTCCTCCTCCTCCCCCTCCTCCTCCTCCTCCCCCCCCTCCTCCTCCCCCTCCCCCCCTCCTCCCCCTCCCCCTGCTCCTCCTCCCCCTCCCCCCCTCCTCCTCCTCCTCGTCCTCCTCGTCCTCTCCCACCCCTCCTCGTCGTCCTCCTCCCCCTCGTCCTCGCATCTGCGCGCGAACTCACGGGCCCGGACCGGCCCGGACCGGCGATACCGAAAGCTTCGGAGACCGACCGGCCCGGACCGACCGACCAGACCGGAACGCGCGGAAACCGACCGACCCGGCCCGGGGAGAGGCTTGCCCCCCCAGAGAATAACAAAACACAGCAAAAGCGTGTCGATTCTTGAAGTAGGAAGGCGCTTGAAGTAGATTGGGATCTGGGAATCCAAAAATACCTACTTTCAACGACCAGCGTGTACGGTGCTTGCCGTGGACATCGGGCAGATCTTCCTTGAAGAACTCCTCGTGCATACGCAGTGCCGCGACCTACAGCTGGCCCCGCGGCCGCGGGGAGGGCGGCGGGGCGCGCCTAGAGCCAAGATGGCCCTCCTCCTCCTCCTCCTCCTTCTCCTCCTCCTCCCCCTCCTCCTCCCCCTCCTCCTCTTCTTCTTCTTCCTCCTCCTCCTCTTCCTCCTCCTACTACTCCTCCTCGTCTTCTCCCTCCTCCTTTTCCTCCTGGTCCTCCTCCTCCTCCTCCTCCTCCTCCTCCTCTTCCTCCTCCCCCTCCTCCTCCTCCTCCTCCTCCCCCTCCTACCCTTCCCCCTCCTCCTCCACCCCCTTTTTCCTCACTCCCTCCCTCCCCCTTTTGCTCCATCCTCTTGCTCCATCCTCATGTTTCCTCCTCATCTTCTTCCGCCTCCTCTTCCCTCTTCCTTCCTTCTTCCTGCCTTTTCATCCTTTTTCCCTTCTCCTCCACCTCCTTCCCCTCCCACCTCCCCTTCCCTCCCTCCTCCGGCGAAGAAGGCAGCGACGACGCCGCCAGCGTGGGCGCGAGGCCGGGGCGGCGGGCGGCCCCCTTGCCCCCCTCCCGCGGCGCCAGCGGAGTGGCGAGCAGCTGACCGTTCGACCCCTCCACCCATAGCTTGTCCCCGTCGAATTTGTCCTGGCGAAGAGGCCGGGAGGAGGAGGAGAAAGAGGAGGAGGGGGAGGAGGCGGAGGAGGAGGAGAAGGAGGACAAGGACAAGGAGGAGCATGAGGAGGAGGAGGAGGAGGAGGAAGAGGAAGAGGAAGGAGGAATAGGATGATGACCAGGCGAAGGAGGAGGAGGAGGAGGAGGAGGAAGAGGAGGAGGGGGGGGACGAGGAAGTGGAGGAGGAGGAGCAGGAGAAGGAAAAGGAGGAGGAGGAAGAGGAGGAGGGAAGGAGGAGGAGGGGGAGGAGGAGGGAGCGAGCAGGAGGAAGGAGCAGGATGATGGAGCACAAAAAGGGAGGGAGGGGGGAAGAAGGGGAGGGGAGGAGAAAGAGGAGAAAAAGGGGAGAAGGGAGGAGGAAGAGGAGGAGGAAGAGGAGGAGGAAGAGGAGGAGGAAGAGGAGGAGGAGGAAGGCACGCTTCAAAGATGTGGCAATAACCATTTTTTCCTCCAACTTCTCCCGCTACAAGATATTAGCAACAAGTGCTCCATTGCGGGAAATGCCCGTTTGGAAGACAACCGTCTAAAACTCCTCATTCGTGCCAGAACACCACTCCTAGGATTTGAATGAGGGGAATCAGGATGACGGCTTCGTCCTAACAGTCCAAAATCGCACCAGAGCAACATCACTGTGACCTCAACGCCGCGAATCAGCGGGACACCGCTCCTGGGACTTCAATCATATGGAACCTGGGCGCTGCTACAAGCTTTTGGAACGAACTCGCGGCACTAAGGAGAGAGCCACATTCTGAAACAGACTCGGCCTCCACCTGTGAAACTGTTGCAGCGTTTGAAAACGAATGCGCACGGCGCTAATACGAGGGTCACATTTTGAAAAAATGCCCGCCCTCCATCCTTGAGGCTGCTGCAAGCTTCTACAACGAATGTCCGCGGCGCATTTTGAAAACGGCCCGCCCTCGATCCTTGAATCTTATCCAGAGCCTAAGCTTACAAGGCTATACATGTTCAAGAAGTCTCCGGCGAAACGCCCAGCCCGCCGTACCAACACGTCTGGGGGTGCGACAAGTAAGAACCATGTTTAAGCAAAGGGGATGGAGGAGAGCAGCGACGACCGAACGTCACCTCAGGGGCAGGTCCGTTCGATAATATGGGCGCTGCGCGGCCCAGCGCCGCCCGAGAGGTCCGCGGGGAGCCTCAGAGAGTGCCGAGCGGCGCAGATGCCGTTGTAGCTCTGCGTGTAGGTCCGGGGGCTCTGGGAGGCCGTTTTCTTCGTCATGTGGCAGAAGCGGCATGCCACGGCCAGGCGCGCCATACAGTTCTCGATGCCCTTCTCGCCCTTGGGGCCATGCGCGTCGCCGAGGTCCATGCGCGTAAGCAGCGGCGTCGCCAGGCGCACCTGAAGGAGGGCGGCGTGGTAAGCAGATCAAGTAGAAAGAAGGTGGCACCCACGCTTCGCCGCCAGCGCGTGCATTCGGTGCGAGGTGGTCAAGCCGCCGACGAGGGACTTCAGCAAGGCCCAGAGGCCCGCTGGAGGAAGCGGCGCCAGGTGCGCGCGCAGGCGCAGCCACCTCGCCTCCAGGTCGCCGGGCACGTCGTCAGTGTCCAGCAGGTCCTCGGGCTCCACGTCCATGACGCCGTCGTGCTGCGCCTCGGCCTCGTCCGGATTGGTGGGCAGGAGCGCCTGGTGGTTGATCCAGCGGCGCCTGGCACGGTGCCTGGCAGCGAGGTCGGCACGAAGAGCTGCTTGCTCGCGGATGCCACCGTCGTTGCAGCCCATGTTGCCGAGCAGCCGCAGCTCGAGCTTGCCTCGACCAAACGAGCCATCCTGCCATGCCTGGCGACACATGTCATGAGCGAGGCGGCGCCGCTGTGCGTCAGGGTTGTGCAGCGCCTGGGGATCGTCGCGCTGCAGCATGCCGTACAAGTGCTCGACACACCAGTCCATCAGGTCCTGCTCGTTGTTGACGTCGCGGGCCTCGAACAGTAGGTCGGGGATCCACATGGCAGCCCAAGCACCAGCACGGTGCCGGAGACGGTTCTGGCGTTCTTCTGCCAGAGCGCGCGCAGGGTCGTGAGGGCGCCTGGCGAGCTGCTCGCCGAGCTGCCCGCCAGGAAACCGAGCACCTTGAAACAAAAGTGGTCGGTTTGAGTTTCCCTCAGCGAACCGCAGGAGCCACGACAGGAGGCGACGACGGATGGTCAGGGCGATGGTGTCGGTGCATAGCCGCTCCTGAAGGGCAAGCAGGTCGGCTTTCCGCGGGATGTGAAGCGACTTGGAATGACCGACCTTGCCCTCGTGACGGTTCAGAATGGCCATCTTCCCTTTGCGGGCGGCGAGCCTCCGTGCAGCTCGCAGCAGACCTCGGGCTCGAGGAAGGGAGTTGACGGAACGCACGAGAGGTGCAAGGCTGCGGCTTTTCCCTTCGGCGACATGAGACGGCTCTTTGGGGCGCCCGTGAGCCGCTGCACGTTGGAGGTGGTGGAGTCGCGCCAGCAGCTTGCGCACCAGCGCCCAGCGTCGGCGACGCAGAAGTTCGGCCCGCGGCAGGCACGGTCGCAGGGCACCTTGCAGGAGGCGCGCCAGGTTGGTGATCGTCGTCGCCGCCGTGCGCCACATGCTTGCCGCCATCAGGGTCTCTCGGAAGCTGGGCGAGGGCCGCTAAAACCGTGGCTGCTAAAACGGCCCTCCCGGAAAGAAAAAACAACTTCCCGGAATGAGGCGCGGCACGCGAAACAGTCAACAGGCTTCTTCCCAGAAGGACGAGGACAACTTCCCGGAGGTCGATCTTAGCAGCCACGGATTTCGCAGCCCTTGCCCGGCTTCCGAGTCTCGATGCCGTTCGGGTTTCCGGTGCTGGCCCAAAGCGCCAGGACCTGGATGTCGAACCTTGGCGAGGCTGTTCGGGGCAGCGCGCCGGAGCTCGTGGATGGCCTGCAGCTCCTTCGCATGGGCGGTGCTGGGCGGGTCGAGCAGCCAGCCCACGCACGAGAGGCGCGCGACGGCGGCCACACTATGGAGCTGGATGCAATGCTGCAGCGGCGCCTGCGAAGCGGCGAGCTCCTCGACTCGACCCCACCGCTTCGCAGCTGACCCTTTCCAGGGGTCAGCCCGCGCCACGCCAGGGCCCACGAAGAAGCCGAGGTGGCGGGCCATCGCCTCGATCTTCAATCCGCGCCAGGGAGGGCCTTCCGCCTCCAGCACGGTGCGACTGTCCTCGATCAGCGAGGAATTCGGGAGCGACCACGTCGACAGGATGATGCATGTCTTGGCCAGGAGAGCAGTGAGGAGGAGGAAGAGGAGGAGGAAGAGGAGGAGGAGGAGGAGGAGGAGGAGGAGGAGGCAGAGGAGGAGGAGGAGGAGGAGGAGGAGGAGGAGGACGAGGAGGAGGAGGAGGAGGAGGAGTTGGAGGAGGAGGCAGAGTGCGTGGAAAAGTCCCCGTCAAATCAAAGGATAAGAGAATCTATTACCTTGCTTGGCCCCCTATCCAGCCTCTGGCCCCTCTCCGCAGCCTCCTTGGGAGCCTCATGGCCAGGCACAGCGATTCAATCTGGCCGCGTGCCTCCAGGAAGAAGGAGACGACAACGACGACGACGACGACGACGACGACGACGACGACGACGAGGAGGAGGAGGAGGAGGAGGAGGAGGAGGAGGAGGAGGAGGAGGAGGAGGGAGGAGGGATACAGGGTTCAGATTGGTCGACGTGTTGGCCTTTTCTGGGCCTCAGCAGGCCTTCGGAAGCCTCAGAAGAACAACAAAAAAAACTAACTGCGAAGACCTCCGCTCCAGAGGCCTTTGGAGACCACCTTAGGGCGGGCGGATTGGCCTGCCGTGCAGCGGCGACGGCGCGGCCGTCAGGGCTGTCGTTCGGCAGCGGCAGCTATACGCCACCGCCGCCCTCCCTCGCCAGGGCCCAGGATGGTCCCAGCCAAGGTTGGTGGCGAAGTGTTTCCCTGAACGGCGAATGCTGCAAGGGGCCTGAAAAGCATCCAGAGAGCGAGAGGCAACTCTGGAAGGGTCCCCCACGGTTGCCGCGTGTCCCCGAAGCTCTCCCACCAGTACGTTCCCGTGGAACGCCCCCCAGACGTCTCTCCAACGTCCCCCGCAGAAGCTCTCCCACCAGTTACGTTCCCGTGGAACGTCCCCCTGACGTCTCTCCAGCGTACCCAGAAGAAGCTCTCCAGCTGGTCGCTCGGAGGTGCCGTGCCGCACGGCAGGACACCGCGTGCCATCGTTCCACCTGGCACGACCGGCGGCCGGTCGATCGCCGCATGCGTGGCCTGCTGGCCGCTGCGGGGCCGCCGGCGGCGCTCGCCCTGGAGCGCCCGCGGCGGCGTCGCCGCCGCGCCGGCGCGGCGCAGACCTGCCGTCGCTCCTGCGGTCGGGCATGTCCTCCTGCAGGCGGGTTCTGTCGGGTCGGGCGAAAGGGGGGGACAGCAAAGGGGGGGTTTGAGAATCAGCTCACGTAGCTGATTTTCCCAGCGCCTCCCGGCGCAGGAAGACGCCTCTGTATCGAGGAATGAGCCCGGCGGCGGGGCCGAAACCAGCTGCATGCAGCAGATTTCGTAACCCCCCCTTTCCCTATCCCCCCCTCCCCCCCGGCCCGATCTTGGACGAACGAGCAAGGATACTCCAAGCCTTCCCCCAAGGACGCAAGAGAATCCTCCCAAATCGTCCCCGACCACTTCTTGTACGAGCTTTGAATCTGTGCCTCCTGCAGGCGGGTTTTGGACGAACGAGCCAAGATACTCCAAGCATTCCCCCAAGGACGCAACAGAATCCTCCCAAAGATACTCCAAACATTCCCCCAAGTACGCAGGAATCCTCCCAAATCGTCCCCCGAGCGCTTCTTGCACGAGCTTTTTGAATCTGTTCCTCCTGTCGAGGGAGCCACGCCGGACTCGACCGTGGCCGCGTCCGCCCCTGCGAGAGCCTGCGCCGCCCGCGCGCCGGGCCGAGCCGCACCCGCGGGCCGTGCCGCCTCGCGCGCGCCCTCGCCTGGGAAAAACAAAAATTGAAGGAGCCCTGGACTCCTTCTTCTCCTCCTCCTCCTCCTCCTCCTCCTCCTCCTCCTCCTCCTCTTCCTCCTCCTCCTCCTCATTCTCCTCCTCCTCCTCCTCCTCCTCATCCTCCGCTTCCTCCCCCCACTCCTAGCCCTTTCGATCAGGGTCGGCGGCACCGGCCGTCAGGCCTCTCCAATAAAATTGAAGGGGCCCTGGGACACACAAAAGTAAATAGACACAAATCACAGGATCCCCCATCTTTCCCAATATTTTCGGGTTGTTGTCCTCCCCCCCCACTCCCCATAGTTTCCCATATCTTCCAGGGACTCGACGATTCATTGTGTCTGTGTGTTTTTTCCCCTCCTGAAGAAATGTGCCCCCCCACGCGTCCCTACAGCGGAGGCCAGTCCACAAGAAGCCTTCCACGAGCAGCCCTGCGGCGGGATCACGTCGCGACGACGTGGGCGCTGGCTCCCCACACCGCGTGGAGTGCACCTCGAGCCATCGCTGCTTTCTGATAGCGCCGATCGTACCACAAACCGGCCGATCCTGGACCGCCGCCGGCGCTCTCAACCTGGAAGACCTGCACACTCGAGCCGTCGCCGCGTCAACGGGACGCGGCCCTACAGTAGGGGCCCTTCCACAAGAAGCCTCCCACAGGAAACCCAACCCTGAGACCCCAGGACGTCCATTGATGTTTGGTGTGGGAACGTCACGCTGCCCATCGAAAGACCAATCGAGAGCAAGACACCCAGGGCACCCTGGAGGCAAGCAGGGCGTTTCTTAGCATGGGTCTCCACTGTGGCCTGATGGAAAATGTGCCCCCCCTGCGTCCCTGGACGCTCGGACACGCACGATCGATCCTGGGCCCATTCTGACACAAGCCCGTCAGAGCTGAGCCTGTGCGGCTCCCCTGCCCTTGCCATGCTCCCTCCGACGTGCTCCCTCCCCCCTCCCTCTTCCGTCCTCTCTCCCTCCCCCCTCCTTCGTATCCTCCTCAATCTGCCTGCCGCGCCGCGCCGTGCTCGCAGGCCGTGCCGTGCCGCGTCGTGCCCGCGTGCTTAGAAGAAAGGCGAGCAAAGAGCGCGAGCCGCGCCGCTCCGCCCAGGAAGCGCGCCCGCGTGCCGCGCCGCGCCGCTGCGCGGCGTGCCGTGCCCGCGGGCCCGCGCTCTGCAGTGTGAGGCAAGCTGAGCAGTTTCATTTTCGTAGGGTGGAGGGCTGAGGGCGAAATCCATGTGGGCTTCTTTCTACACCTCGAAGACGAGTCCGTCCTGTGGCTCACCTCTTGCAGGCTCGAGCCGCGAAAGTCCATCGAGACGGCACTTCAGACTTCACCCCGTGCCCTCCACCCACGGGAAGTGCTCGGGAAAGGTGCCGCTCGCGCGCCGCGGCCGTGCCGTGCTGTGCCGGGCCCGCGTGCCGTGCCGTGACGCGCCCGCGCGCTGCAGGCGTGAGAGGAGGTGCCGCTCGCGGCAGGTCGGGCACGTCCTCCTGCAGGCAGATTCCAGGGGCCCCAGGACACACAAATAAATACACAAAAATAAAATGATTCCCCATATTTTCCCATGTTTTCCAGGTCTTTGTCTTCCCCCCCACATCCCATAATTTCCCATGTTCTCCTGGGAGTCGACGATTAATTGTGTCTGTGCTTTTTTTCCCTCCGGACAGATGTTGGACGAGAGTGGCAAAAATACGCAACAAATGTTCGAACATGGCCCCGACAATACGCCAAGAATAGTCCCCAGAGCATCTTTAGACTGCTTTTGACTGTTCCTCCTGTGGAGGGACATGCCCGACTTGCGGGAGCGGCCAAGAGGGGGGCGTCCAAGAGGGGGGGGTGCAAATCATGGCCGGCGGCATGTGCGCGGCCCAGGGGGAGGGCCAGGGACGCAATAAAGTAAGAAGAGGCGCCATGACATCTGGGGAGATATCATGGCCCCCGCCATGATATCCCCCCCCCCTAGTCACCACCCCCCTCTTTGCCGCCCCAGATACTCCTCCTGTAGAGGGACACGCCCGACTTCACGCTCGGGAGCCGTGACCGGGCCGTGCCCGCGCTCTGGACTGCGACGGGCACGTGCCGCCCGCAGGCCGTGCCCGCGTGCCGCACAGGTGCACGCGCAGGAGGCTCTTCTCGTGCAGCTGTGGTGCTCCAGGCCTGCAGTCGGGGCGTTGACCTAAGGAACCCTAAATAAGGAACGGGGCCCCTTTTTCCCATAAGTTCAACCTCGATTTCCCATGGAAAACCTCAGGAAAACAGAAGGCAAACTGTAGAACAGTCACGGAACACCGAGCCCCTCCCCAACGAAAAGGGTTCCTTCTTCAGGGCCCCGGCTGTATTTTTTTTGTTCGTGGTGACTGTGCAACTACAGGGAAGGCCTCGAGCAGGACACGTCGCGAAGAGCACACTGTGCAGTGGGGCGTCGCGAATGGAGATGGATTGAGACACCTGCACCAACGTACTGCTGCCTTTCCGGATGTCGCCGCCGCCGTCGCCGACGCCGACGCCCTCGGCATCGTCGCCGCCGTCGTCGTCGTCGGCGGCGTCGGCGTCGTGGTCGTCGGCGGCGGCAGAGCGCTTCCGGTGCGCGTGGGAGCCACAGCCGCGGGGTTGGCGCCCCGCGCCCCCCCGCCGTGGGAGAGCGCTCGTCGTCCACGCCGGCGCGGGCGCCATGGGGCATCGAGTGGCGGCTGGGGCGCTCAGCCAGCCCAGAACGCCCCGTCATCATCCCCGAGGGGGGGGGGGGGTCGGGCTGATCGTCGGTCGACGTGGCCGCAGAGCGCGGGTCTGCTGGACCTGGGCGCGCAGACCCGGAATGCCAAAGGAGCTCAGATCGCAGAAGCAAAGAACTCAGGACAGCTCGCTGTCGTGCTCGGCCACTGTTCCCGGCCACGTGTAACTGGGCATCGCTCGGACGTCCATTCCCTGTGTTTTTTCCGGTTTCGTGCGTGGTTTTTTCGCCAAATGACCCAGGATGCTCCTCGATGGTCCTCGCCGAAAGAAAAATGCACACGTCCGAGCGATGCCAAGGTAAGGGACATCTCTAACTCCCCCTGCCGCGGTCCGCCACGAAGCGGCGCAGGGTGCGGAGGCACATGAGCTGAAAGCGAGGCGGGGGCCGCCCTCGTCCCCCCAAAGCCCCGACATGTC